TTTCAGGATAGTGGTTTTACATGCAGGTGCTAGCAGACAGGTGGAATTTAGAAGTTGGGGAGAAATAAAAACTAGCAAAAGACGTGAAAACACTTAAATTATTCATACATTTGGTTCCCTTGATAAATTTCGATAAAGAAAGGAAGACGAAATTTGCAGTATAAAGTGATATCATTCTATTTCACAGGTTCTCATCAGCTGCAGACTACCTGAAATTACAGTGGTTATATAGATGATAATAACATACTTTAATGTTCGAGTAGTGGTAGAAAAGAGATACTATAAAATTGACTCATCTAAATGAAAGCATTACAATGTTTTTAGTTTACGTTTTCATCATCAATTTATACGCTTTTAAAGTTGAAAAGACGGGGAGGGGTAAGAGAGAAAACAGAAAAAATTGATTAACAGAATAGTGTTAGCTCTTAGGTTCACAAAGCAACTCAAGAAACAAAAACGGTTACAGTTTATGAGATTAAGATTTGTTCAGTGAGTTGAGATTACTGAATTAGATGACTAATCAAAATCAAAATTCTGTTACCAAGGGAGTGAGAGGTTAATCACACTGTCTTTCTGCATGCATAAGTCAGGTTTAAGTCTTTTGATTGCGATTGCTTAGGCAAATCGTAGTAAATTTGCTGTCTTTTGTCTATTTAATATTTTGAAGGACTTAGAAATCTCTACGAGATGTCCGGTATCAACAATGTGTCTGATAATTGCACTCTGGGAATATCTGTTTCCTTTCAGGCACAGGTTTTTAGGAATATGTTCAGAAAACCGGATAGAAGCCCTTCTATCTGTCCTTCCAATGTACTTGCTCCCGCAAGTGCACGTGAATTCATAAACGCAGTTGGAGGTGACATCAGCAGGGTATTTATCCAGTTTTGAGTGGATTAAAGAAGGAGTGGTGCTGTATACTGTTATGAGTTTTGCTGCTGGAAAGCTTCTATTTATTGCACCTTTCAGTCTTTTGTCAATCTTTTGTGACACTGCATCTCCTTTGTATGGTAGACAGATAAACACTTTTTTCTTTTCTACAGTTTGATGCTTTTCTTTCTCATCTTTTTCTCTGCTGTACTTCTGAATAAATCCCTTAGGGTATCCATTTTCCCTTAGGCATTTCTCGACGAAAACTACGACGTGACCTCCTTGTTTACAAATGTACCACTGATGGAAACAATTGATATAATTAGTAAACAAACGGATCTACTACCATTACCGGAAACAGAGATGAAGCGACTTCTACTGTTCTGCACAAAAGATATACAATTCAAATTCAACAATCAACTTTACCGACAAACCGATGGGATCGCGATGGGTTCGCCTCTGGAACCTATCCTGGCTGATATCTTCATGGGCTACCTTGAGCAAACGCAACTAAGTTCTGCTATCAATGGAACTACCTACTATCGCCGGTATGTTGACGACACATTTGTTGTTTGCAACGATATGGATCACGCATCGGCACTATATGATCGCCTAAATGAGATACATCCAAATATCAATTTCTAACCGTTGCTAGCTGATATATATTTACATATGTTAACGCTGAGAGAATGGATAGTCGATCCTTGATGTAATAAAAATATTTGTAACCCGTAACCATTTCTTCTAATAGGTTCGTTGTTCGGTGGAAATCATCAGCACGGCCTGAGTACGGACCTCAAATGTTTTTTGATATTCTATTTAAAATTTGAACTTGCATCATTCAATAAACTGTGCTTTGGTGGCTCAGCGGTAGAATGCTCGCCTACCACCCATATGGTTTGGGCTTCTATCCCCAACCAACGCACCCCCCTATACCTTGCTAAGCCGATACTAAGACTGGTAAAGCGGTAAGGTTGGCTATTAGGCTAGCAATCTCATTCCGTAAAAAATAAACACCACTGCTACCAAAACTGCAGTCTTTTAGCTTGAAGCCCTATGTTCCACTGGGAACGTACAGGAATAAAAATAACAAAATAAAACACTCTCGATAAACTAGTAATACACTATACCACTTAGCTGCACACACCCGTGATTGGTTTTACCTCCCTGTGTATTCACGACGAATGCATTTAATCAGTTGCCACTTTTAGGAATGCCCTTTTCCGACACATATGTATCCATTCTTCCAGTGCCTTGAGGGAATGATAAGTTAAAGAGGTATACTCATCAGGAAATTTAAATTATTTATAGATTTTGGGAATAAAAAATTGCAATACATATTTATGTGTTCCAATTAAAATTAAATGTACTGTTATCTGAGACTAGGACAGTAAAACTTGAATTGAGTCACATATATATTCGGGCATCTGAAGGCCGTTAAAAAGACATTCGGTCAACTTTGACTTCATTGTCTATATTCTTTCACTACCAATAGAAATTCGGCATCGCAGAACATGATAAAAGCACGTTACTTCGGCAAAACTACCAAAACAATAGCAATTGTGCAATACGCACCTTCAATTGAAGTTATTTCTAGTAGCTATAGGACCTAGAACCCGGCTGATAACTGCTACCTTGTCGTGGTGGTCGGGCTTGAATACCGTAATGACCCAACATGCTAAACTGACTAGGACTTTGTCCCTGCAGCTCCTACCATGTCAGGAAGGTTGTTTGGATAGCAATTAAACTAAAAACAGTTACCATGGGGTGCATGGGCTCCAGTATCCAATCGGATCAAATGGCGTATGAACCCATATGGGTCACCGACAACCATGGGAATGAAGCTCCTGACGCTGCTCCGCTGCCTTGCGAATTAGACTCCAAGTCAAAGGCTCGGGGTGGTCCCTTAATAAAACCACCTGCTTCGGTCTGGGCACCCGGACAATATCTCGGCCCTCACACAATGAAATGAATGAAGCAACAAACATTCAATCAAACTTATCACGTGCTATTACACGTGTTGCAATATCCTCCTCTCTTCCCTTCCCGATGATAGTTAACGAATACTGTTTGAACTTGTTAAGCATGACTGTTTTCCTTCCAGATGAAGTTCTTTATCTGTTCTCTACTTATATATATATATTTTTATTATTATTGTGCGGCGCATCCTTCTTGGTGCCATATTGTACCAAGTTTTTATGCGTTTAAATAATATAAATAATAAATATGACCTAGAAAGTGAAATTCATTCTATTTGAAACTCTCTAATCTGATAATAATAATGATTTACTTTATTCCCAAAACAGTACTTGTGATACAGAATGGAATTTTCAGCATTAATCACAATATCGCATCTAATATCCTCAAATTATAAATAAAATTAATCACACGGAAAATCTTCCACAATCTACAGTAGGGGCAATGTCAGAAACATGAAGCATATAAAATGGAAATAATAATAATGATAACAGCTAGGGTAATAGTAATAATACAAGTGAAGATTACCGTGGGCTTGTTTTGCACAGTATTGGCACTGTGGTATAGAAATCCTAACATGTTTAAAAATATTGAATATAATGTTCTATTTACATGATATGGTGAGGGGAAAAACAAAGAATACAGCAGTCATGGAGGTAAGTTGATGTTTGCAATTACGAGAGTAAAACAAAGAAGTGACAGGACCATAAATATAACAGAAATAATAAAAGTAGAACTTGAAGGTATATAAGGATGGATGGAGGAAATTATTTATTTACTAGATGAAAAAAAGGTTAGTTAATTCTTGCCTGACACTATTTTCATTACATAAAATATGTTCCAAATATGGTACGATAGAATTTTTATACTTAGACGTGAGAGCATACAGTTTTCTGAAGTTACTTCTTGTTCTACCTGAGGAGGTGCAAGGTGAAAGCTGAGGGTAAAGCGGATGCTCCAAGTCAGACAAAATCCCTTTAGCAAATTTATTGCACGAAGTCAAGTGCCTATCGATAACAACATTAACTATGTGGTTCACTGGGACACCACTCACTCTACTGACCGTCTTCAGCATTCTACAAATTGTGACATAGTCCTTTTTAAGCAAACCAGGAAAGAATAAGGGTGAGCAATAAAGAAGAATAGGTAGGATGCAAGAGTTTATGAACTGTAAGAGGAGGGGTTGAGTTAAAGCCGAATGCCTTATCTTCTTAATGTAAAATGTCAGGCGGAATATTTTACTGAAGATCGCTAAGACATGGAAAGACCAGGAGAGATCAGAAGACAGAATAAGTCCAAGGTACGTAGTTTCTGATTTGATTCTTATATCATTGTCGTCAGTCTTACAACTGTCATGAGAATCGATGACTTCTTTTAATTGTCTTTACATCTTAAACAGAAATCAACAGTTTGACATTTAGAAGGATTCAGTGTAAGACCGTTAGACTTAGACCATATACTGACTCCCGACAGAAAGCTATTTATTTTGGTACAATCTAGCTGGGAGTTATTTTTTTATTTTTTTTATTTTTGGTAACAGCTTGATTCCACACTGTATTTTTGGTACAAGTATGGAATTTTCAGCGTGGATATCGGTAGCCCAAATTTCGCAGGCCGACCATAGTTATCTGGTGTGCACCGGTGTGGGCTCGAACCCCGGACCATGTGCATGGTCGTCGAGAGTCCTAACCACTGCGCCACCGACGCACACAGCCATTGAAACTGTTAAATCATCAGCGTACTTCACCAGATTGAGGCAAGTCATGCAAGAAGAAAGAAAAAATAGGAGAAAGGACGACGCCTTGAAGGACACCAGCTTCAGTAGGCAATGAAGTGGAAGACTTCCCTTTAATACACGGTGTACTGCCTTCTTTCTGAGAAATAGGAACGTAATCAGTTAACAGCCCAACCTTCTGTTTGACTTGCAGCAAGTTTATTTAATAAGGTGTCTGGATCTGTTTTCTTCGCCAGTGGTGATCTTCCTACTGAGATTTGAACCTAACACACAAGTTTCAGAAGGCGAAAGGTTTATACACTTGGTCACTAGGTATTGTCAAGAGGTTCTTACCAGGAGTCTGTATATCAAAGGAGATAGAACGTTTCGGTTCAATAAATACCAATAGACGTGAATAGTGTTAAATAGTTAATTCACTTACTCGGATCAGATAGTTTGTTACTTTGAATAGCAACCATCATAATAATCACAATTAAAAACAGAAATCTCATTACGTAGTCATATTCCACCGAGAGTGTCAATGTTTTCACATTATAAAATGTTAAGTACTTCAATATAATTTTGTCAGTGTAACAATATTAATGATAGGTAGTGAGAATTTGTACATTAGTCGCCAAAATCCTTTTTTTCTAGAAACAGTAGGATAAAGAAAACTCAAAAATATCTTAGTTAAATGTTTGGCAGTTAATCATGAAAATTTTAGAAAGTAAATCTAAACATTTTGATCAGTAAAATTTCTAATTTTCTATTGGCTCTAAAATTAACCAATCAGAATTTGAAGGATTTGCATTACTTGTTGGAAACTTGGATTGCATTTAAAATTTCTGGTCACGTTGAAACATAGCCTCTTGAGAAAACATAAGATGCATATTTCAAGTTATTTTTCATATGTGATGAAATTAGGCGGAATGAAAATTTGGCCTGCAGTCGGGTTAAAACCAGCTGGCAGTCTGCGAACTAAGCAGACAGACCCTACAGTTCACCATGTGATTAATCCATTGAAATTTACACAGACACCTGTGAGGTATATGAATCATGCGTTAGGTTGCAGCTTGTCAACTATCTCAATAAACAGCTAAGCAACTAAGCCACTCACCTGCGTCATGTATATCCTGCATCATTTCATCTGTTATCGGACTGAATAAGCATCAGGATACGAAAAAATCCGTAACATGAAAACAGTGTGACTCCAATTTTAGTGACAGTATATGCCCACTAAGGTACTTGTACTTAAGATTGATGATTTAGTTACACCGGCCATTATATATCAACAAGTGTCCGCATAAAAGAGAAGGGTTTATGTCAAGAATTTTTCCCGTGACTTTTCCTCAGGTTCTACACTCAGAAATCAATGTATAATATCATTTAACTGGTGGTAAGCGTAAAAATTAAGGTGGTACCAAAAAGAGTAATATAAAGAACAAATGAGTGATGACTGAATGCTGGGTAATGAGATTTGATTGTGATTTAAATGTCTGGGAGGAATAGAGGTGTGAGTGATATCTTTGCTAATTTATATTCTATTAGAGTGTATGTTTCAATGGGTAAGTTATAACCAACAGAAAATCATCAGTAACAATAATTTGGTTGTGGTAATACTCTATAATTGAAAGGGTGTCAAAGAAACAGGGAACAAGCGTTTACTACAGTGCCATCGCCAGCCATTTCATCGATAAAGGATATGAGGTGGACATCGTAAAATCCTTTAAAATAGTCATAATACAAAACAGATCAGTTCTTCTCAGATTTACTGAAGAGATAGCCATTTCTCTCCTGAAACCCGATTTATACATTCATAAAGAAGCATTTATCTGTCTTTTCTTGTACCAGTCACTGAATTTCTCTTAATTCTCTTTCATCTGATCACGTAGTCTTTGGCTTTAACCTCTCCTCCCTTTTGTTGCAATGATGCTTCGCTTGTCTCTTGCTGCTATAACTTGACTTGAAGTGACCATATGGTTACATGGAATTTATTAATTGCTCGTCATCTTACCCACCTTCTTTCCTTAATATGTAACTCATTTGCCTTTGTACTTAAGACATTATTTGTGTTTCAAATTCAACTAAGCCATATAAGTTTAGTTCCTGAGCACTGTTTGTTGAGCTAGGAGTCTTCTGTCAAATAACATTATGTAGCACTCATAGCTGATGAGAAACCCCATTCTTCACGAACTATTTTTATCGCTTTATTCGAAGAGATAAGGCGATTGTGACGTTACTTTCCTTTTTATTGATGTCGATGAATCTAATTTAATATAGAGATAAGGCAGTTTAATTTATGATAACCTAAAATCAATCCATGGTAAATATACAGGTTAAAGGTGCATTTTTGAATTCAAAGGTTAGGCCTTATATTATTGATTCTGATGCCTTTAGCTTTGGATAAAACACGTAATGATACACCTCCACCCGACATATTATTCGTATATGCTCTTTTGGGTTTTGATCTGGTTTTCACTATACACTAAATGAGATGAGGTTGACGTGTTTACTGACTGACCTAGTTACATCTTTTCATGACCGTATATGGGTAAATTACTCAGAAATTCAATCCTAATAAATTCTGACAGCTTGCGCAGAGGTCGAGAAAATAATTTCGTTGTCTCAGATATCCTCATAAAATACCTGGTCAATGACAACGTAATACAACACTTAGGCGAGTAGCTCTTGAATTATATTGTTTAGTAAAGCTTCTTATTGCTCACTGTATACACCCTTCTTTTATTACTTTTTCTACATTTGATGAGACACCTATTACCTTTAAGGTACTGGATTTTCTTATTTGTACAATCGATCATATATTAGAGTCTTATTCAGCGACTAAAACAGTAGGCTTAACTACTTCTGCACTCTTCCAGTATACAGCTACGAGACTAGATATACTCCTGAATTTTGACTGCCATGTATGAGTTGTGTTTATCATCTGCTTGATCAATAAATTCGTCATCAGTAGAAGAATCAGATAAAAATATTCCTTTTTTTCTAAATGTCCCAGTCAACAGAACCTCGTGAAACTACCAAAGAAGGGCGACTTAGGACTCTGCAGGAACTGGTGAGGAATCATGCTCCTGTCAACGCCAAGTAAAATCCTGAGTTGCATCGTCCTGGAGAGAATAAAGGACCCACTGGATACAGAACTCCGGCCAGAACAAGCTGGATTCAGGAAAGGCAAATCACGTTCTGACAAAATTGCAACTCTACGCATCATCATCGAACAAAGCATGGAATGGCAATAAAACCTCCACCTCAACTTCATAGACTTCGAGAAGGCCTTTGACAGCGTTGACCGCGAAGTAATTTGGAAACTACCCGAGTACTACAGCATACACCACAATATTCATCAACCTTATTCAACAGCTGTACGACAACAGCACATGTCAAGTGATCCACAACGGAAAACGCAGCGAGGCGTTTCGAGTAAACACAGGAGTCAGACAAGGGTGCTTACTATCACCAATGATATTCTTATTGTGGCGGACTGACTGGATTATGCGTCAGACAGTGGGAAACGAGCAGACAGGGATATCCTGGATCGACGCGAAGAACATAGAAGAACTGGATTTCGCGCGTGGATGATTTATGTTTGATGTCACACAAAATTGAAGACTTACAAGGGAAAAGCGACAAACTGGTGGAAGAAGCAGGCGGCGAAGACAGGACTCCAGGTGAACATAGACATGACGGAGGTTATGAAAATAACTAATCAACAACAACAGCAGCAACATCCAACGTCAATCACCATCAGCGGGAGGGATTTGAAAGAGGTCACTTCATTCACTTATCTAGGGAGCATTATCTCAACTACAGGAGGAGCGGACGAGGATGTCAATCAGATTGAGAATCGGAATGGCGAGAAAAACATTCATCAACCTGAAACCAATCTGGAAATCTTCGTCATATAGGCTGCATCAACAACAAACTTAGGTCAGATTTTCAACACAAACGTCAAGTCAGGCAGTTCTTCTATACGGATCAGAAACTTGGCAGGTGGGTCATAAAGAATATTTCCAATAGCCTATTGCAGAAGTTACCTTTATCAACAACTGTCTTCGCTGGCTCTATACTGAAGATCAGATGGCCAGGCCGGAAAGAATCACCAACAAGAAACTATGGGAACAAGGAAAACAAGAACCAATCGCCCAACAAATATACAGGAGAAAGTGGATTGAGATGGATTGGACACTCGCTGAGGAGGCCGCTGAATGATATTGCACGCGCGTCAAGCTATTGCTCGAGTAAAACTCGACAGAATGGGAAGCGGCAAGTGGGACGTCTAAGGATGACATGAAGGAGATCGATTGAAGAGGAGTTGAAAGAGCATGGACTAACATGGATGCAGGTGAAAAGTATAGCAGAAGAGAGAAGCAAGTGGAGACGTGCAGTTGAAGCCCTATGTTCCACTAGGAACTCAAGGGAACAATAATAATAATGTTCAACAGAACCATCATAAGTACACTCCGACAGCCAGGCGAAATGAAATAAACACTCAACTTCATCAGCAGTAATCCATCAGCACACGAAAGAAAATGTGTACAGAAATTATCCATTCGCTATGATCCAGAATTCAAAAACTTTTCTCTGTCGATACGACTGACACAGAACTAGAAAGCCTTCACACAACTCTCTGAAATCATGGATAACACAGTAGGTTTGTCGACGGGAACACAAAGAAAGAAACCATTCCCAGCCAAATCACAGTGCCAAAGAAGACACTGTTCATGAGTTTTGCTTACAAAGGTGACACTATTTCTAGAGTCACCAAAATTCGTTTGTCTAAACATGTTTAACGGTGTTTTTATGCAGCTGAGTTATATTTTGTATTCACCAGACGAAATATGATTCAGCAATGCGTTAAGGATAAACTAGTACTTATGTCCGCCTCTGTATGCATATACTCATTCACATGCTCATGTGGGGCTGATTAAATTGGATTTTGTGAGCGTAATCTCCATAAACGCGTAGCTGAACACTACTCGGTTTGGTTGATGAAAGGTAAACAAAGGATGACAAAGTATTCAATCTGTGAACACTTTCTGGAGTCAAGTGATTGAGTCCCATAAGAATTATTCTTTAAATTTATCTGTAGAACCACATCCAATCAATCCAAAAGCCTAGGACTGCTTCGCTAATGTATAAGCGAAGATCTAGTTATATATGGATAAAAGCCTAAATTATGTGTTCAAAAACGTGTTGTTAAGCCTCTTTCTTTACCTTGGTCATGGTAATGTTTTCATTTTATTCTGTTTCACCACCTGGATTCATTCCGCTTCACTTTACTTTCACCGTCTTTATTGTTATCATCGTCGCACTATTAATTTTTTAGACGACACTTGACCTACTATAGCAGTTCACTAATTTGGTAGTCTTTAAACATTTGTAATTCATCCACTTCAACGATACCCCATTAGTACATCATTTATCATATGCCTATTTACTCAACAGTTTCCAGTGCCACTTAATATCATTTAACATAATATAAATACAACCGTACAGCTTCAAAATGAAATTGTTGAAAAGCGATATTTCTTCGATGAACTAAAAATTGTGTTTTTTTTTGTGAGTTATTCAGAAGAGCTAAAGTGCATTGCAGCACTCCAGTCCTAACGAGAACAGAAGAGAAATATGCATTAACTATCTTCAACCGGAATATATGCTCAAATAATTTCATCAGAAGATGTCTTGACTTGAGTCTACAAAAGGTACACCCTACC